GTAGGGAATGGAAATTAAGAGGTTATTCTTTGCTGAAACATTCTGGAAAGTCATAACTGAAATCTCTTGCTTGCCTCTTCTATCTGTTTATTTTTACCACTTAATAACATGTCTGTCTCATCAACTATTCCTGACACCATGGCAAGAAAATCCAACTCAGTGAAGACAGCTTTATCAAAGAGATATTAGCTTTTCGTTATTGTGTGATACCACATCAGTGCTTCTTGAGTGTATGAAGTCTGGTCTGTAATTTCAAAGAGTGTCTTCCATCTCTTTGAGGAGGTGATATGACCAATATATTTGAAATTGTTGATTATTATGCAAAAGGTTATCCAAACTGTGAAGATAAGAGGAAACTTCAAGCACTTCAAGGAGTCTCATTTGTTTGGTGATATGCTTTTCCCTTCACTGCCACATGATGTCATGGACCTAATTTCAAGTGATTAGTAACAGTGGCAAAACACTCATTGAAATAATCTTTGATAGAGGAGGAAACTCCGGTGCCATACGAAGAAGCTGTGCTATCAGTAATTTCTCACCACTAATGAAGCCTGCAGGCTTCACCATGACAGCAAACCCACTTCTGTCTTTGCTTTCCCAGCTCTCTGCAGCGGGGCAGCTTGCCTGAATGCAGATCAATAGTGTTTGTCTTTTCTTTACTTTGAGTAATCTTGGGTTTATTGTCTTCACAGTGGATGACTTCACTCACCCCTTTTATTTAAAACCATTCTCCTGGTTTTGTTACTAAGCAGTCTGCTTGTTTGGGAAGCCTGGAAGAACTGAAACTGAACCATCTTATATTTTCAAATGAACTATATTACCACCTTTCCCTTATTTTCTAGACCTGCCAGAAGTTTTTGGTTTTGAAAGTTTTGGAACCAGCTGAGCTGAAACAATGACATCATTTGCTTTTTGGACAGGGAGCAGGGAAGTTTCACTGAAAACACAGTCTTGCAACTCCCAGTTTGCTCGCCATTCAGAATCACTCAGAACACGTATACTCTTTTGGGTGTATATTCCGGTAGCAGAATTACAGAAGGGTTGGTTGGAAGGGACCTAGTCCAACCTCCTATTTGAAGCGGGATGATTGCCAGCTTTGGAAGAAAGGAGAGCACAGCCATGAGTGTCTCCAAGTGCAAAGCACAATGGATAAAGGCCATCTGTGACACACCACCTTTGACAGCACCACCTGGATTTAATGACTCAAGACCCTACTTGTCCTGAGTCTGGTATCTTCAACCACTGTCTTGTGCATGGTCCTGTTATGCCTCTTGGAAGAAGGCTGCCACAACCTGCTGTTTCCCAAGCAGTCCTCAGCTAATTACACATTTTAGAAAAAAAGCAGTTCCTCTATGAGATCAGTTCAAAAAATTATCCTATTCAATCCTTGTCTACAAGAACAGTACCACAACTGCTAAAGAACATGATCGCTTGCACTTTGGGATGCTCCCACCTTCCCTGGGAAGGAATGGCCAGCTAATGCCTTCAGGATCTTTCCTGCCTATAGGAGAAGCTGCTTCCAAAAATTAGGAAAAGAGGACTGAAACGGCATTCTTGAGTCTTGCAGTTTCCCTGTATGTCCCTCTATATGTTCTACTACACTGCAGGTATCCTTTCCACAAAGGGCCATCCAGGCCCAAACTAATTAAATTGCCTGTGTATGAGGCTCTTCAGGCCCTGCTGTCCTGGGATAAAAGAAAGGAAAAGCTTGAGGCTACAAAGTTTCAAATGCTCCTATGGTCAGAAAGGCCAGAAAACAGCACAAGATGGGCTCACAGCACAGCAAACTTCAGCTCGTCAGTCTGACGGCTATAAGCAACAGCAACCAGCACCTACAGAGGGAGGTGAGAGGCAAGCGGGGCTGGCAGCCAGCACCACCAGCTCTGCCCTGCAGCGGGAAGCAGGAAATGATCTGGCTGGTTCTGTAGTAGTTATTATGGAAATTCTCTATCAAGTGGAAAATAAAGAGAACCTACCAGTTTCTAAAGAGTAAATTCAAATTCACTCTTGTGTGAGGGAGAAGGATTTGTTCCAAAAGCCTGGAAAGAGACAAGTGAGCTGGTGAGTGAAACGGTTCCTCCACTTGTTTTCCCCAGAAACAGTTCTTTCAGTGACATTACTTTTTAGCCATTGCCCCAGGCGTGCTGCCACAGCGTGGCACTGCAGACCTTACATGACCCCACCTAGGGCTTCTCCTAAGTTTGCTCCAGGAGAGGAGGAGTCGCTGGGATGCTCCTTTGGCCCCATCAGCAGCCAGACCTGCACAGTGGGCAGTGTAACCCTGAGAAACCCAATGACAAGCTGCTGCTTTGCACGGAGGCAGCATTTTCCACCCTGTTGAGGTGAACTTCACTAAAACCACACAGAATCCAGTGGTTTTATCCACACAACACTTACCACTCTGTAAGGGATGTTCATTACCCTCACTTTATGCTGACAGCATCCCTGCCACACACTTTTCTGTAACCTACCTGGCTTACAGCACAGCTTACAAATCATCTCGGTCACCCAAGCTCATCCCGCTATCACCACGTCACCAACCACCTGAATATCACTGTTTTTTACCAGGTAAACTCCAGAACTCAATGGCTGGCTCATACGGCTGGGATTACAGTTTATTGTTTCTGTACTCACTAATATGACTACAGTGGGAGATGACCAAGGAGTCAGTGGAGGCATTTCTGTCCCTCTGGTGCACACTGGATAGGCAAGAAGAAAACATGCCTGTTCACTACAGAGGCTGGAAATGGTCATGGGTACCCATCAGTGGGTCCCAGTTGTTCTCTTCCATACCAGAAGCTTTGTTGAGTCCAAGAGGAGACAGATCTTGCCCAGAGCCGGCAGGATTGGCCCAGTGCCCAGTGAAGTCCAGTATGGACCAAGAACCATCCCATGTTCTGCCCTGCCTCCATCCTGCTCCTCAGATACATGAGGACAGCACATGGTGTCTAAAACACTCACAGTGACACGCAGCTACCCAAAGGTGCCAGGAAGATCCTCTCGGCACATGAACCGACCTGCTTCTGCTGCCTTCTTATCTCTAACTTGCAGGTTTACTTGCCTGACCAATTGTTCAGGTGCAGAAAAACCTGACTTAGACTTATTTCTCATTTTGGATGAGGCTGAAGTGTGGCTGATCTACCCTTTCCTTGCTTTAGTCACAAAAATGCCAACTGAGAACAAACGTTAAGGAACCTGTTGCTGACAGAAGCAGGCCAGGTTCGGATATATAGGCACATCTAGCGCACCTCTCGACTGCCTGCTGGGCCAGTGATTTTCCAGTAACTAAATAAACCAGACAGAAATGGAATTTCACTGCCTTGTTTTCTCACTCCTTTTGGGCACACTTGCCTTGTTTTGTCAAGAACTGCCCAACGAGCCAAGAACTGCATCCCAGACAAACTCTGTAGCAGAAGAAGAGCACATCAGGCTGTGGACCAAGATCCTTCCCTTCAACACATCTGCATTAGCAGAAAGGAAAAAAAGGGCATCTATCTGAAAAGAAAACTATTGAACATTTAGGTGTTGCTATTTTTATCAGAGATTAATGGATGTTTAAGGCTTCGGTTCACTTGGTGCTTCTCAAAGAAATCATAGCAGACTTGGGTGAAGGGAAAGCCGCTGTGTTACCTACACAAACGATTCTAAATACCGAGCGGCTGTTTGTGGCCTCTAAGCACAGGCTGGCCCAGAAACTGTGGGAGGCAGAAGGCAACGGCTGTGGGTATCAGTGTGTAAGGGAAAGTACGGAGGCAGAGAGGGAATGTAAATTGAAGCCACTTTCTTGGTCAAACTTTGCCTGCAGTTGTGCATCTAATGAAGGAGTCTGAGCCTTAAGTGGGTCTTGTACTCCTTCCGGGAGAATCAAACCAAGCAATGGACTGGTTTTCATACTAAAGTTAGTATGAAGACTAGACACAAGGAAGCCCAGACATACTGTCCAGCCAAAGGATCTGTCCAGGCTATGACCCTGCAATGAAATGTTCAGAATGCTATGGGGTTGGAAGGGACCTCTGGAGATCATCTAGTCCCACCCCCTGCCAAAGCAGGGCCACCCAGAGCAGGTTGCACAGAACTTGCCCAGGTGGGTTTTGAATGTCTACAGAGGAGACTCCACTACCTCCCTGGGTAGCCTATAATGGAGTTATGCAATGGGAAAGCATCACATTTCCAGGGGTTTAAGTTTGGAGATATCACCTACTACTTCAGAAAATGTATGAAAAGGCAAAGAAACCTACAGAAAACCTATGGGGATGGGGGATACTGTGAAATGATGTAGCAAGATGGGTGGGATACATGCTGTCCGGCGAGAAGGGAAGAGGTAAGAATAATGGCTGCTTGCTGCAAGGTCAGTATGGTGGCAGAGGGCAAGCCAGAGAGATGCTGCAGCAAGAGGTGAGGTCAGGTCATAGAGAAGTGAGGGAAAAGCAGCATTGTCCAGGAGGCAACGGATGGAAGCAGCAGTGATGAAGACAGAAGTGAGCAGAGGCTGTTGGGACCAATTTGCAAGTGCTTACTGTCTCACTTATAACTCATTGTCAGTGCGTGGAAACTTGGTGGTAGCCCTGCCCTTGGCTACAGGGTCGCCAGGAAGAAGCAGGAGAGCTGGTGACAGGGACAAGTATGGTGGCTGGCACCAGGACCAGAGACCTCCTAAGCCTGACCCAGCCACCTGAGGGCAACACTCTACAATACCAAGGGATAATTTACCATTAATCTTGACGCTTTATCTACACATTTCACCTATCACCACATATCACCACATTTCACATTATTTCATACTATCTATGTCATTTGATCCACCTTCTAAATCCAAACTTCAATATGCAGTTACCTAAAAAAAAGAGACAGTCCTCACACCTAAGAGCCTAGAAGCTAGAGTTCAAAGCATAATGTCAGTACTAAGTATTGTATAGACAAAATAAGGTCAATACTAAGTCACACCCTGGCAATTAGAGGGAAAAATAAAGACAATTAACTTAGAGCCACATGAAGCTTTATGGATTCAAAAACACCAATAGTGTTTTATTCAGAAAAAATAAACAGCCTCAACTTGGAGTGAGATTAACATTCACACGAGATGACATCTGCCCTGATTATGTGAGCCAGAAACACATTTTGCCCCAACAGTATAGGAGGGTGTGTATAATCCTCATAGAGGCAACGAGACTCCCAGCTCCTCCCAAACGCCTGCATGGCCATTCCCATCCACCTGTCTTAAGTTTCTACTGGTGTTGAGTTGATCTTTGGTTCTCTCTTAAATTAGTTTATTATTTTCTGGCTTATCTTCTTTATTGGTCCATCTTATTTGAACTACACACTGTAAAATTTTTTTTCTAGCTTTACATTTTTTCTTAGGAGCCTTTCTAGACTTCAGCCAGATGGGGCCTCTCCTCCTTCCCTTGGCTCTACTCACAGTGAGGAGAATAAAAGCCTCCTCTGTTCTTTTTGGACAGGTTTCCAGCTCTTGTAGGATGGTTTATCTGGAGGGAGTATTTAATATTCTTCCATGCTGCAACAGACACCGCAGACAGAGATGCAAGTATCTTTACTGCTGAAGGAGGACCGAAATTTAGAAAATGCTCGCTTCCACCCTCTTTTAGACCAAGACAGAAGACAGAGCTTGGACCCTCTCCCCACCCACCATCCTTGACCTCAAGAAGTCTTTGACCTCCAAGTTCTTTCTTTCACAGGACCACACCAGCCAGAAGGGACCTCTGGCTGTTTCAGGGCGGTCCAGTACCCTGACAGCTTGGACCAGTTCATCAGCACCTTCCCCAGTCCAGAGTGAACCGTCTCCAGGGATGGAGATCCCACACCTTCTTGGGGCCATTGGCTCCTGTTGAACTGTTGGCGCCCCCTCTTGGGCCCTTGCTGAGCAATCACGTGGAGCTACACTCAAACTTTTATCAAACAAGTATTAGAAAAGAAAGCAGGGACTGCACCCACTTGTGTTGTCCTTTGGGCCCTGCTCATCTGTGGCTCTCTCTGGACAACTGGTTTTCCACAAAAGGTAGTGCTTTAGGTTGCCCACAGTGAGTGCAAAGAGACAAGGCACTTAGATATAAAATCTGCTCAGTCATTATTAATGACTTTTTTGAGGCCCTTCCTGTTCCATCTTTGTCTTCTCCACCTCACACATGTAGGAAATTCTGCATCTGAGAGGAACTCAGGACTGCACAGGACTTAACAGTCTTTAATGCCCCTGTGTACCATGGGGCACGTGGAAGCGCACCTGTCCGGTGGCTTTTCCACTGATGGAAAACCAGCCTTCATTGTAAACACACACTTGACAGAACACCCGACCTTCCTCTTCTTGGCAAGAAATTGTCTTGCCTCAAGTATAAATACATTCTTTAGAAATACATAAATGCATAACTTAACACCTGCTTTGACCCAGGCAGGACTCACAAGGAAAGAAAACCATGCTGCGAGGCAGGGGAGAGCTTGTAGATTCACACCCTTCTATCTGGGTCCCTCGTTCAAGCCTCGTGTCCCACGCACAAGTGCAGCCAGAGTCAGCAGTCGCAGCTGGGTTCTGAGGCCGCGCCGCTGCCGCAGCACAGGTCTGTAGTGCTTCTTAACACCTTTAACGCTGCGAGGTTTGCTCTCAGGCAAAGCCTAATCTGCAGAAAACATCAGCCTGAGCCCTTGACTTTAAGCAATGCTGGGTTTTGTCTGGAAATGTTCTGACTCGTCATGGCTGGTGGAGGACAGGGCCACCTGGCAATGACTCCTTGCCGAACCCACCACTCCCCCAGGACAGGGGTTATTCCCAGCGAGCTTTGGGCTCCGCACACCACAGGGCACAGGTGGGAGAAACCTTTCCGAAAAAGCAGCCTTGGCCTCATTTGGACAGGGCAACCGCTGAGGCTGGAAAGCAGCTGATGGATTCTGATCTATTCAGCACTGGAATAACTGTTGCCGAGGCTGGGCTCAGGGGCAGTCCTGCCCTGGGCCAGCGTGGAGCAGGGCCGAGCAGAGCCCAGACAGGTCACTTTCATCGTTTTCCTCTGGCTCGGTGCTGGAGTTGGAAGGGTCACTGCTGGGCAAGCTGTGGCCAGAGCCTGTCCTCAGAGATGCTTGTCCCTTTGGGTCCGTGCCCAGCACCGACCCATCCCAGCGGCAGACGCTGCCTGCGCGGGCAGGAGTTCTCAGGCAGTTTGGCTGGGAGCAACTACTCTGGCTGAAAAACTGCCCCAGCAGAGATTTCTGGAGGGTTGTTTGCAGGCTTTCACAAGTCCTCTGCTTTGTGCTCAGCTGGGTGTAATGCAAATCCAACTGCAGGACCACGTCTGTCTGGAAGGGGAGAGAAAGACACAAAGTGAATTGGAGACGAAGACCTGAGGCAGAGCTTTTTCGTTGTTGCTGCTGTCAGCGAAAATGAGACTTGGCTGGCTGTTCTGCAGGCTCGCAGCCCCATGCTGTGGCAGGACTGAGCAGCGCTACTGCCAGAGAAAATGAACTGTTACACATGCTCATGACGTTTGTGGGCCTGAGCCATAGTTTCTGGATTTCAGGACTTCTCCTGAAATCAGGCCATCTCACTTGGGACCTCATCAGCCCCCTCAAGGCAGTGTCATCAGGAGCATCATCCCCAGGACACTGGTGCAGGGGAGCAGGAGGGAACTGCCCCTAGGCAAGCTGCACTCACGTGAGGAAGCTGCGACATCTGTCCGGGCCACGGCACGGGACTGCTGCACACGGGAGAAAACAGTGTGCAAGGGGAGGGATATGAACCACTTAAAATAAAACACACATCACCCAGCAAAAACCAACAGGTTTAAACAGCAGTGCTTCACAGGGATCCATTCACAGTCTAGCACTATTTTAGGTTTTTATAAAAGATGGTGAAGAAATCAGTAAATAACCATTTACTGGTAAATTCATGGCAGCGAAATCCCTGAATGCGAACCCCTAGTGTGGGGCTGTGCCTGGGATGCCTGGCTGTACAAAGTAGGGAGATGTATAATGGAGCAAGAAGAAGATTTTGGCAGGCAATGTAGAGTCCAGGACTCGCATCTGCACTTAAAAGCAGTGCTGAATGCTTGGGAAGAGTTCAGAAAAGAGCTCCAGGAACAATCAAGGACTGAAAGAGCTGCCATATGCCGAGGCACGTCACGCACTCAGCAAACGGAGCTCGTTGTAGGCAGATCCAGGCAGCAGCTTGAGAGCAGTGCTCAGTGTGAGCCTGCATGGAGCAGAGCAGAGAAGCAGCTGGCAAGGTCCACTGGCTGTGTGTTAGAGGGGAAAGAAAAAATCAAATGAGGAATAAGGTGCACACTTCTATTTGGGGAGAGAGAATCTGCTGGAGGACACAAGCCAGGGGACTAGCAATTGTGCCTCTCTAGTGGTCTTTAAATAGTCTGAGAAACTTCTGAAGTGTGCCAAGCTTGGATCAGGCTTGGTCGTGTCACCCTGATGGCAGAGGATAAACCCTCCCGCTGCTTGAGATCCTGGACAGCTCATGAGCCCATCTCTCAGGCACACAGCCTAGCAAGGCATCCTTCATCTGAACTTTTTGGGCTAGTCTGGTCTCTGCTAGGCTGACACAGGCAAAGAACAGCCTCCCTGGCCTGGCAGCATGGAAGGACAGAGTGAACCAAGAGAAAGATGTTGGTGTTTGTGCCTTTGAGATAAACGAGCTCCTCTAACAGTGATCCAGATGTTCCACTGACACGAGTATGCTGGGCATTGCCTGCAGGGAGTCCTGAGACACATGGAAGGGCACATCCAGCTCACGCCAGTGGGGATGGGGAGCCAGTTATGTGGGGCTGCAGGAGAACCACAGAGATTTACCTGAATTTTCTGTAGTCCACAAAGCTGGAAGACACAGTCCAGCTCCTCCCGCTTGTACACAGAGGCAAGCAGAGACTCCACATGGTCTGGTCGGCTCTCTTTCAGGACAGCCACATCCACCGTCTCCTGGGTCAGGAAAACAAGAGGAAATGCAAGGAAATTTCAGCATGAGCCCAGGCATGGACATGCAACCGCCCGTCAGACTGCTGCTTCTCTGCACACCGCAGCGCCCGCGGCTGGCCTGTGCACTTGACACTTTGGCTGGTGGAAATGCCCTACTCCAGAGTGCAAGCAACAGAAATACAGAGATTTTACACGCCTGCCTTACACATATCAATGGGAAGACCTAGCTGAACATCCCCTGAGGGCATCTACCAGGGAAGGTGTGTTTTAATGGGATTTCCAGCAGAGTAGATGGCAGGAACAGCCAGCATCACAACCACCTGCAGTGTAAGAGGTGGGAAGTGTTGAGGAGGGAACAAGTTTTCTGAGGGCGTAGCTGGAGGAAGCTCTGAGCTGTGCCAGGTGCCGAGTTACCCCCCTGCCATCCACATCTGTCAATTCTTGCTGAATTACTCAAACTTATCCAAAACTGCCCTGTCTCTATGAGATCCTCTTAAGTAATGATGTCATGGTCTTGGAGGCACTAATAGCACAAGAAGGGAATAAGGGATGAAATAGCATCTTGCTTTGGATCTGACCCCTCTAGGATGGGTGACAACCCACAGTCCACCAGCCTCTTCCAGGAGAAGGTGCTTCCCTCTGCCAGCTGGCTTCAGCAGCTGCCATGGCCTGATCCTGTCACCCTGGCTTGGCCAACACTAGATGTGCCAGCCCAGCTTTGGCCATGGGAGCTGAGCAGCCTGGGCAGGGTCACCACAGCCACATGAAAAGCCAGTGGCAAGTGAGGTGGGTTCTGCCCTTGAAACCTTTCTCACTGTTGGCAGGAGAAGTTGCACTGTGCATGCTGATGGAGGAGGCTGTGAGGACACTGCAGAGAAGTCCTGGGAGCTCTCGTAGCCTTTACAGACCTTCCCCAAACTGCTGCCTGAAAGTAGCCAAAGCAATTTGTTTCTGACCAGGAGAATATTGCGGGTAGAAGCTAAAATGTTGGATCCCAAATGCTCACAGGGATCTGCAGGCATCAGGGTCACCCCTGCTTGCAAGGCTGGCAGAACACCAGCTGATCCAGCAGGTCCACCGGAGCCAGGCTGAAGAAATAGCATTTATCTTTGCACAAAGCAAAGCCAATTCCCTTCTCCATGCTTGGCAACTCATTACTGGAAAGATAAACTGGAGGAAGCTTAGGGAAGATCAGGGCAGTGAACAGCACTGACAGAACGGGAGATGGGAGTGCCAATGAAGGGAAGACCCAGCTCCCAGGGGGATGGAGCAGCTGTCCTGCTCAGGGACCCTTCTCCCGCTTCCTTACACCAGCCTGAACTGTGCCCCAAAGAGGAGACAGGATGCAACGCATTGCAGATGAACACTGCCCTCTCCTGCTCTAGCTCATCACACCAGGTACCTGCTTCTGGCCCCCCCAATGCCATCACTGCCCAGCAGCCAGCTTAAACTAAACCTGGAGATCAGAGAGACACAAAGCAGATCAGCCTGGATGCCGCCAATGCAGGGCTTCAGCAGCAGGACTGCAAAAAGGAGCAGAGTGGCCTCACTGCATCCAGCCAGCTCCATCCTCCAGCACATGCTTAAGGACAGGACACCCAAGCCACCAGCCCTGCCCAGCATGAGCCTCCTGCAACGGGACTAGTCCTCTTCCCCATATCTAATGATGCCACAGCACTCTCCTCCAGCCTTCTCCATGGCTGTCTCATTGCTGTTCCCCCACGTGTCTCTTGACTTCTGCAGTCCTGCCTTCCCCCGGTGCATCCCCACTCCTGCGGCCTCTCCAGAGCAGCCCCTCCAAGGACCTAGCGGGGCTGGGGTTGGGCCACCTTCTCTTTTGTCTCCTTGCTGACACAGATGTGCTCTGGACCAGATGACCTCCAAGTGCCTGCTCTGCAATTGTCTTAGCAGCCCCTGCAGGCACTGCAAATCTTCAGCGATTAACATCACAGTTGGTGTCCTGGTTTGAGGTAAAACAGAACCAATTCTCTTTCTGGTAATTTTACTTTTCAGTTAAACCTCTTATAACTAACTGAACTCTCTGAAATCAATGGCATATTTTTCCAATGGTATCCGTGTCCAGAATGGTAAGACCTGATTGTTTACAGTCAATGCCAAGGAATGGTGTGTAGGGAGGCTCTTCCTTATACTTATTGCTGCAACAACCAAGGCCAGCTCACCCCGTTATGTGCCCCTGCCAGAGGGTGGGAAGCGGAAAAGCACAGAGGGGTCACACTTGTGGGGAGGAGGGGGCAGGAGAGGGGACTCCAAACTGACCAACAGGGTACTCCATCCCATCTGCCCCATGCTCAGCGTAAAAGCTGAGTGATCAGAGGGTCAGCTCTTTTTTCAATGGCCAGCATCCAAGGAGGACTCTCTCTGTTTATCTGCCTGTTCCTGAATCCAGATCCAGAATCCAGTACCTGTCCATCACTGAGTCCAGTCTGGGACTTCTCCAGTGCCTGCCAGTGACATCATCCAGGAATCTTGATATGGTTTTTTATATATATTGTACATATTTCATTATTTTCTTAATGCTTTAATTAGTTTAGTTTCTTTTTTTAAACTCATAAGTCTCTTTTCTCTCCTCATCCTGCCCTCCCTGAAGGGAGATGCTCTCCCTCCTCTGAAGGGGAGAGAAGTAAAAGAGGCATCTGTCCTTTGTTTCAGTGGCTGGCATGGCCCAAACCGTGACAGTTGTGTTAACGCTGGCAGGGCAGGGATACTCAGGCCTGTGCTAATGCACTGGATCCCTCCCAAACACCTCTTTGTTGGGCTGCAATTTTGAGACCCCTGAGGTTGGGCCACCCTTGTTTTCAGCCTCAGGAATACCTGGCATGCTACAGACATGACCAGCACAAACATAAGATTATTCCACCACAAGTTAAACCGCAGCTCACGAAAAGCCAAGAAGCATCAGGAAGTTTGCGTGGGGTGAACCACACAACCTCCCTGGAGGAAGCCAGTCCCAGGCATTGAATATCCAAAGCAGACGTGTCATTTCTCTCCGGCACAGACTTGGGACCATCCTGAAGCAAAGGAGCAAACGCTCAACGCGGTGGGGAAATGCCCAAAGTGCCTTCAGCCTCCACGCAGGGAGGATCTCCCAGCAGCTTGACAGATTAATTAACTGACTGCATTATTCAATGATTTTGGATTCAACAGCCAGCCATGTGCTGCCAACCTGCTTCTGAACGCGAGGCTGAGCCAGTGTCCTGTTCCCGAGGCCAGGACCCTCACCTCTGGGATATGGACCAGGAGGGATCAAAGGCATCATGTGGCCCAAACAACACCAATTTGGTGACACGTCACACCGCACAGCAGCACGTCCCGATACTCTAAGGGGGTGCCAGTTCTGTAACACCCTTAGGAAAAACCCTTCCCAGACATTCACTCTTTTTACTGTGAAAATGTCCACTCTGGATCTTCCTTACTGCGATTCAAACCATGATTTACTTCCATGTTAGAAACAAATATTGAAGGTCCTCTAACTGTCAATTTTTGCTTTTCTTGCCTAACCCTCTTGTTCCTTCCTTTTATTACTTTGGATGCACTTTAGTTGGTGCATTTTTTTCTATGGACCCAAAACCGGACCCAGTGCTCCAGCCTCAGCAGCAGTGAGGAGAACCAGAGAGGATCCCCCACAAATCTCAGAGCTCTTGTTTACAACCTTGGCAGAGTCTTCTGCCCTGCTTTTGTTGCCCCAGCTGCTGTGGACTTAGACCAGAACTGGTACCCTAGTCATTTCCCATCCCAATGCTTACACAACTGCTTGCTCCTGCCCACATGCAGCAACCTGCATCTGCTGAGTAACAGCCTTGCCCTCAGATCGCATCTCCAGTTTATGCAAATCTCTCAAAAAATCTAACCCTGCCTTTTAGCACCTTGAAGAGACGCCCAGTGTTACGGCATCTGTGTTGTATTTAATAAGCTATGGTGCATCACTGAGGTCATTAGTGAAAACAGAAAATATTCCCACAGCCCTGGCTTTCCAAAAGAAATAACATATTCAATCACCCTCAGAGTAAAAAAGTTGTCTCTTATTTTAAGTCGAATTTCCTGTGTTTCCATTTGTGTCCATGCCATCTGGTCCTGCCACTGAGCAGAGAGAAGAGCCTGGCTCCAGCCTCTTTGCACACTCCCTGCAGGTGTTTATATAGACTGGTGAGATCCTCTTGAGCCTTCTCTTCTCCAGACTGAACAATCCCAGCTCTCTCAGCCTTCTCTCACAGGGGAGATGCTTCAGCTGCTTCATCATCTTTGTGGTCTCTCCAGTATGGCCATGTCTCTTATGCACTGGGGAGCCCAGAACTGGACACAGTACTCCAAGTGTCGCCTCACCAGTGCTGAGTGAAGGGCATGGGCCACGTCCCTTGACCTGCTGGCAACATCCCTAATGCAGCCAAGGATCCATTTGCCTTTTTTACTGTGCAGGCACAGACAGTGGTCAGCTTGGTGTCTACCAGGACCCCCAAGGCCTTTTCCATCAAGTTGATTTCCAGCCTGTTGACTCACAGCTGAGCCTGTACATGTTGACCTTCTCGGATGCAGGACTTTGCACTTCCCTTTGTTGAACTTCATAAGATTCCTGTTGGCCCATTTCTCCAGCTTGTCCATGTCCCTGCACAACTGTCTGGTGCATCAGCTGCTCCTCCCAGTTTTGTGTAAGCAGCAAACTTGCTGATGGTATGCTCTGCTCCATCACCCAGATCATTAATGAAGACATGAACCAGTACTGGCCCCAGTACTGAAGTCTGGGGCTCCCCCTTAGTGGCCTCTAGCTGGACTTCATGACATTGATCACAACATTTTGAGCCTGGCAGTTGAGCCAGTTTTCAGTCCACTTCACCATCTACTTATCTATTCTGTTATCTCAGCAGCTCGTCCGTGAGGATTTTACAGGAGAGTGTTGAAAGCCTGGCTAAATCAAGATAAACCATATCAACTGCCCTCCCCTCATCCACTGAGCTCATCGTTTTGATGCAGAAGGTTCTCAGGTTATCAGGCATGGCTTCCCCTGTGTAATCTCTGCTGACTACTGCCAGCCATCTTCTTGTCCTTGCCGTGTTTAGAAATGGCTTCAGGGACTATTGCCTTCATCACCTTACCAGGGATCAAGGTGAGGCTGACCAGCCTGTAGCTACCCAGATCTTCACTCCTGCCCTTCTGGAGGGCAGGAGTGGCACTGGCTTTCTTCCAGGCCTCAGGAAGACCACCATCAACTGATGAAGTGTGGCGTCACAGTCTCATTGCCAGCTCTGTCAGCTCTTGTGGATGCATCCCATCAGGTCACATGGACTTGTGTACGTCCAGTTTGTTTAAGTGCTCCTTGACCTGGTCCTCCTCTACCACATGTAAGTCTTCCTTGCTCCAGACCTTTCCCCAGGTCTCAGAGGCCTGGGAGTCCTGAAGGCCAGTCTGACCAGTAAAGACTAAGGTGAAGAAGGCATCAAGTACCTCAGCCTTTTCCATGCCCTGTGTCACGAGGGACGCTGTCATATTTAGCAGTGGGGCCCTTATTTTCTCTTGCCTTTCCTTTGCTGCTGGTACATCTGTAGAAGCCCTTCTTGTTCTCACCACAGATGGGCTTTGACCTTCCTAACCCCATGCCTACCTGCTTGAACCACATCTCTATAGTCCTCCTACATCACCTGCCCTAGCTTCCACCTCTTGCACATCTCCTTTTCATGTATCAGCTCAGTTAGGAGCCCCCAGCACGTCCATGAAGGCCTCCTGCTGCCTTTGCTTGACTCCCTCTTCATCAGGAGCCTTGAAAATCCATCAGCTCTCCTGGACCTCTCGTATCTGCAGGGCTGTGTCCCACAGGAACACAGCTCTCCAGCCTGATGACCTTCAAGACATTCACCTGGGCAAGGAGCAATCTAATCTCAAGGGATCAATTAAAGCCCTGGCATGTGAGATTCAAAGCTCCTTGGCTGACAGAAGCTCGTTATCCACAAGTATCTGCACTCTGCTAAATTCCCAGTCTCAATAGTCTCCTGTGCCAATGACTTCCACAATCCAATTACAGTGCATGCAGGCAAGTATTTCCTTCCATTAGTCTCCTTTATCATTTCTGGCTATATAAGAGTCAGGAAACAGAGAAAATGATGTTCTAAATTAGTTTTTTAGCCCATTCATAATTATTTATAAACATTTCCCCATGGTGGAATGCATTTTTTAATGAAGATGATGCCCAGAAATTAGCAAGGCCAGAGTTTTGGCTGGCCTAGTTTCAAATATTCTAAATAACTTGGAGAAAAAGGGTTACTGGAGAGGCCATTAAACCAAACAGCTCCAGATCAAGTGACTTGAAAACAAGGAGATCCAACATAACAGTTTAAAAAAAAAGTAAGTGTTTAAACAGTACAGAGCAAAAAATGGGAACATGTTAACTCTCAGCATCATTCCTTCCAATGTATGTCCTCTCTCTCTGAAGACAGCACTTGTCAAGCAAAAACGCAAGCCAGGCAAGATACAGCATGGGAGAGAACACTACCACTGGACAATTAAAGAAATGGATTCATGCTAGAAAATGTCACTGTAATTATCTCTGGCAAGCCCTACAGCAAGCCCAGGCTCTCTGCTTGTCATTTTTATAGGCAGAACACAGTAAATGATGGGAAAACTACCATTTCCTCAATGAAACAGCTCCCTGGGTTCACTCCCTAGGGCTTACAACATGCACCTCACATCAAGCTTTTGTTGGGCTTCAACCTCCAGCTCCCACATCGCAGCAATGCAAGGTTGTCTCAGCTGGTCCCCCAGCTCCCCTCGGCATCCCTGAGGAGGGCTGGCATAATGACACATGGCCAGCTCATCCCAATCCTGAAAGGAGCTGGGTGCCCTCCTGCAGACACCCTCACATCTCTCTGTGGTCCCACAGTGAGAGCAGGTGGCCTCGCTGAGGTTGTCTAATATGGGGCAAATGAATTGCAATCTGATGTAAGGATGTGCTGCCACATCAGCAGATACCACTGGAGGTCAGTGTGAGTTAGCAGTGCTGCAGAGCAGGACAGGAATGGGCATCCTATTGCCATGGCTCTACTGAGGTCCATTTTTGGTCTCCCTAATCCCTCTTGAGACAGCTCCAGACGCAGGAGCAAGTGTCTGGGTACTCCTTTCCCCACAGTTGCTGATGTGGGGTGGATGCACACAAACATGCACAGACACACACACAATTTTCATGCGTGGTCGGGGAGCTCACAAGTGGAAGCGATGCTCCGGCTTGGTAACGGGCAGAATCAGGCTCCAAACCTCCTGCTGGATGCACCACTCTGCATCAGTGACCACAACGTGCTTAGGGGCAGCATCCCTCTGCGAGCAGCAAGGGCTGAAAAATCCACCACAGGCACGCTATGCTTCAGCGGAAGGACTACAGAAAATGAGGAAGATGGTTAGTGTAAAGGATCAGCAAATTAAATCCTTAGAGGTGGCATGGAGATCACCAGAAAAGACCATGCTGGGCACGTGGTCTGTTAGGAAAGATGGGAGAAAGAGTGCAAGGAAGCTGGTACGGCTCAACTGGGAACAAGTACAGGAGGATCTATTACTGTATGAAGATGTATTAGCACAGCATCATTCAAAAAGCCAAATCTGCTTCCAAACATGGAAAACAGAAAGGCTCTTCATCTCAGTCAGATTAAAGGCAATGATTTAATCAGGCAGGCCAGAAATCGGTGTGAGGAGTAACTGGTTAAAGGCATCACAACTGGCACAAAATCTATTTTGTGATGCATTAGAAGCAGGGCAGGCAGCCTCTGGGGCACTGATGCGTGGAAGGAACACTCAAAGAGGTGTTTGCAGAGAGGATTATTTGCATCGGAGTCAGCAGAGAAGGGGATCCTTTTCCACGTGGGTCCAGTGCTTTCCAGCCCTCGGGACCCTTTGGGCTCACTGTAACCCCCTCCCTCTCTGCCCCAGGAGAAGAAGCCCAGTGGGAATTGAGGGGAAGGGGACTGGCATTTCTGCCGGAGGACTCACGGTGGGTCGGCAGAGCAAGAGACGGGCATCAGTGACGTGGGCTGGGGGTGGCTGCAGCTTGGCACACACGTACATCATGTTGGAGAAGAGTCGGTGGAAGCAGAGCTCCACCTGCGCCCCGCAGGAGAAGGACACTATTTTGCTCAGCGGCTCTGGAAGGGAAAGCACACTGGCGTCAGCACCTGGTGGTCCTTGGCTCCTCAGGGGGTACCACCAACACCCCCCTGCAGACTAGTGTCCCCGAGGGGCACGGGGAACCCCAGCCCTCTCCTCCCCCCTACCCAGTAGCCCTCCTTGTGCCCTGCTTGGCTCACCGTGACTGCGTCCCCAGTGCTTGGCAGCTGCTCCCAAGGGGCAGATCGGGTCTGTCAGGGACCGAGCTTCCTTCAGAGTGTGTTTGATCTCCATCACCTGCTTCCCAGTGACCAAGGGATCCCGGCCAATGTCTAGGGGAGAGAGTTTGGAGGCACAAGGGTCACTCCAGGTTCCTTATTTATCATTCCCTTATTTATTTATTCCTTATGTATCATTTCATACCCTACGTGAACATCTCCTTACAGCTGCCAGGTTATTAAAAGCTCACATGGGTCATGGCCTGTGATTTGTTTTTTAGGGAAGGGGATCAGAGGTGCTGACCCTCACTCTCACCCTTGCTGGGATGGCTGGGCTGGGGTGGCCACTTGGTTTCTGCCGATAACTGTTCTCACCCCTGCGACTGAAGTAAGTGTTTTCTGGCTTGGGTTAAAAGTACTCCTTTACCTTCTAACACATCCTCCAGCATGTGTGTAACCTTCTTTTCCTGCAGAATATGCTTCTTCAGATATTTCATGAAGATCCCAGAGCTGAACTCCCCATCCTGCAACTCATAGGCTTCTGCATCTTCACTCCTGCAAGAGTAAGGACTTTTCCTCACATTTCTGCAACAGGCACGAAGCCCTGGGGGTGAGTCAGGGCTTGTTCACTCCGTCTAGACTCTGCTGGCTGAGTTTGAGTTTGTTCCTCATGCAACAGAGCACAGTGCTTGGTTTTGCCACAGGAGAGCAGGGGAAAGGCATGGGATGGGAAAAAGCAGTGGAGGGGGCAGGAGAGAAGAGCACAGCCTCTTTTGTCAGTCTAGGTGTGTGACAGCAGTTGAAAAGCCAGTGGAACTGGCACTGGAGCAGTAAGTAACGCTCATCCTCATCTCAGAAAGCTTCAGGTGACACGCTCATGGCACAAGTGCCTTGGGAATCAGGTACAGGCATGGAAGGACAGATTCCAGGAGCTGATGCCACCTTCACATGTAACTTGTAACTGATGCACAGGCTGCCACTAGCAATGGCAGGAGGAAGAAGTGCCTGAATGGGAAATGCTAGAGATGGAGGGTGAGAGCCAGAAGAAACATGAGCAAAGCTTTTTCTCAAGCCTCCAAAGGCAGCACGCATGAGGGGGTGTGAGGAGATATGGCTGTGCCAGCATTTGTTCCTGTGTCATGGTGAGGACACAGCAAAATGCACTTACGTGGCATAGCCGTAAATGGTATTGCCCCAGGGCTCCAGTGGCTGCACCTGGGAGAGGGCACACTCCGGGTTGTACCTGGAAGAGGAGATGAAGGCACAGATCAGTGTTGATGACACCTGCCAGCGGTGTCTGGAGGGGACAGAGCCCGTGTGCTCCACCGAGTCCATCTCCTATGGATGGCAGTAAGATCAACCCTCACATCAAATATAACCACCCAACAACAGAGCCTAAAGCTTGGAGTCCTACAAAAAACCCGAACCACAGATAAGGTACCCGAACCAGTAGATAAGGCCAGTTGTGACCTCTCTGCAGTGGTGAGCTGCTCCCTGCCTTGCAAGCAAACCCGTAGCTGTGCATGCAACCATATCTCCTCCCTCCTGCGGCTGGCTGGTGGCAAATCCAGGCTGCAGCACAGTGCAGAGCACACAGGGTTCACTCAGAGGTGCACACATCGCATGGTTACAGCTCAGCTGCCTGTCCCAGGGGTCTGGCGTGCCCCACAGCTCCCTTCCAGCCCACGCACACATTTTCTGCCCCAGGACACCACAGCACACCTCCAGACCTCACTGAGAGATGGGATCAGGACACACACCCAGGTCTTGAAGCCCAAAACTGGTCCTGGCACCCTGGGCTAGATACAGCTCAATGAGCATAGTCTCTCTTATGTTCAAGCTCAGGTAGATCCAGGGTGACAGTCCTGGTTTCCACCGAAAAAGATATTATGGTTGCACCGAATGGCCAAACCTTGCCCATCTGACTGCAGCAAGACTGAACTGTGTGGGGACTGGCTGCCTCCAGCTTACACCAGTGACTTGGAGCTGCACCCAGTCGCACGGGGGTGAGAGCCAAGCACAGAGGCAGTGTTATTTGGTGCAACTCAGTTCCAGTTTCCTGGGGCTGAAGCTGGCGTGCTAAGGAGAGCAGAATGGACGGGTGTATTGCAAGCAGCCAGCACTTCACCTACTGCTGGTGGCGCAGTCTGGAGATGTTTAATGGCAGGATTCATCTGGTTTGTGTAAGTTTTCTAAAGATGATCAGAAAAGAAAATATGGAAAAGGAGATAAACTCTAAAATCTGCCCCTCAGCTACTCCTAAATGAATGCAGAAATCTGTGATTCCAGCTCTGAGGAGAAATGAGATATGGGATCCTAAAAAAAACTGAGGTCCTGTTGTCCCCCTGCTGGGGATACCCACCCGAGGCTCTGCAGACATGAGTTGATGCGAACCTTTCGTGATGGCCCCAGCAGGCATCCACAGCTCCAGCAAGGCTGGAGCTACATGCAGTGGAAACGCTGGGCATGGTGTCCTGCCCCAGCAGAAGGCAAATTTCAGCAGGGGCTGGAACTTACAAGAAGATTTCCAGATGGTGACCAAACACAAGGACAGACCTGACAGCAGAGAAGGTGGCAGCACTCCCTCCTGCTTCAGGCCCCACAAAAGCCTCATCTACACAGCACATCTCACGCAACCCAGCGCTCATCTGCATCCCAGACAGGAAATGGTGTCCTTCTAACCTAAGCCGCACATTGTAGGAATTCCAGGAAGAGGCAACTGCATCCACCTGAAATCAGCACATAAATGTACGAGGCTAAACACAAGCTCCTTGTTCCTGGTTCCTCCTCTGCTGAAGCTGAACATCTGCTACCACTCGGCAAAGGAGGACATGTTTCTCATCGCCTTGGCATTTCTGATGCCAACATAGGGGTGAAGAGATACTCAGGATGAGATCCCTCTTAGTGCAGACACAGCTCCTCCTGGCCTGTGCACAGCTGAGCGAACCTTCAGCAGACTCACAGCATCACTCCAACCGAAAGGCATTGGGAAAAGAGGCCCCAGGAGCTCTGTTTTAAGGATCGGTGTAAACATAGACAGCCATGAAATCCAAACTCTATGCTGAGCTGAAACAGTGACTTCTCAAGAAAAATGAGCTCAGGAGAGCTTCTACAGCAACCCCCTGCAAGCCTGGGGTGAGGATAACACCTCCTGCACTAAGTGCTGTGCTTGCTGTGGGAGAGGAGGAAAGAAGTGTGAGATCTTGGGGTGGGAGAGAGAAAAAGAGCTGAACAACGTCACAGTAGATGTCACATCACATCCTTTTCCCAAAGCGCCGTTAAGACTCCACTAAGCACGGAAACTGCTGGCGATGCCAAGAAAGGAGACATCAGCTCAAAAGCTATTTTATAGATCATTGCCATTCGTGTTAGCAGTCCCCGTGCAGCCTCCACATCCCCACATTGCCCTCAGACAGGCTACCAGCAGCCCGGGGGCACACTAGCCCATCTCCACCTGTGCATCTGCAATGACTGCTCCATCTTGGCTGCAAGCTGTCCCCTGCCCAGTATCATGCTGGGGAGAACAGCAAGGTGCTGCTGCATGTGCTGGGGGAACTCGCTCTGCTCTCAGTGTCTGCAGCAAGCCGGAGGGAGGAAGGGGATGGATGCTTCACTCCAGGGCGTTTGGGGCAGGTATCAAGGGACAGCAAGCTCCAGCGATGGTGGCAACTCAGAGCAGGATAAGTCCCAGCACAGGCAGCTCATAAGCTATTCAAAGTGAGCATGCCTACCTCTGCAGCTAAAAGGCATCAAAGATTTAACATCTTTCCAGGAGCTGGTAGCTGCTTCAGGGCAGCGGTATCAAAATCCTTGTTGTCTTTCTGATTCTTAGTGTAGGTACCACAGAAGGAAGAGGGAGACTTTCCTGCATTTGCCCTCCAGGTCTTTCCTGACCTGTAAATCTGCCTCAGGAGACCAAAATAAATGAAATAATGATGGCTTCTACTGTAATAGTCTACTTACCTCTGCTAAAGATGGGCAAGTAGTCATTTTCTGCAGCCCATAAACTGCAGGACAGAGATTTGCAGGCCAAGGGAGGATGATGGGCTTTTCACAGACAGAGGGAAAAAGCCAATCCCTGACCTAAGCAGTGGCCTGGGTCCCACTTCAGAAGCATTTAAGGCCAGTAAAAATGATGTAGCATGACTTAAAATAATTTCCCCCTCTTCTTGCTGAGATGCTAAAAAAAAAAAAGCAGCCAGAGAAACATGCACCATGGAAGTCTGAGGCCAGCAAGATGCTGATAGAGCCTGCCAGGGACAGGTGGTGCAGGGCAGGGGGTTGAAGCACAGAAAAACAAGCCCTATGCTGAGTTTCAGCCAAGAATTGATGCCAGGGCAGAGCCAGCCCTCTGCAGGTTTAGGCCACTTGCCTGAGTTTGCCAGGCTTCTTCATTCTCAAAAAAAAAAAAAAAAAAGGGAAGGTTGCCACCCTCTATTCTCACCGATGATTATTACAGACAATTAGGCTACATAATTGTCCTAGGAGAGGAAATCATCTGCTGCTAAGAAACAAAGAAACCTTAGTTTCTAGCAGCAGCCCCTACCAACTGATGTGCTGTTGCTCTGAAAGGCTTTATATAAGTGTATTTGGTAACCTCAATTGTGAGTTTTCATTTCGGTAAATAATATGCCTGTGGCAGATTAGAATATTACTGTGAAAGCTGAATCAGGTGGCTGCTTTCTTCTGCATGTACCAGAAAAGGAAATTTTTATCTCCAGCTTCTGGAAAGAACTGCAGCTTCTTAATGTTCCCCGTAGCTTCAGGCAGTTGCGGGGAAGGTGTCCGTGTTCAGCAGGTAATGGGTTGGCTCGGTGTGGGTAAATCAGCTGGGCAAGGGCAAGCGTGGTGGGGCTGGGGTGGGGAGCATGCCCCTTCCCCAGGGGCAGGAGAGTGGGTGAGCTGGGGGTGGCTTGGCCACCTCAGGAGCCCCAAGGGCTGAAACACCACTGCAGCCACTGCACATTTGGCACCTCAGAAAGCGACAGCAAAAAAAAAAAAAAAAAAGGGAAGGTCTCCAGCCTCTTCTCTCCAGCAGACCTCAGGCAGCATCTGATGCTCTCTGCACCAAATACATGACCAACTGGGCTTCCCAGAAGATCCTGCAAGACTTAGCAGTCTTGCTGATTTTATGACACAGCCCAATAAACTTTGACAGAGGCCTGGGCTCAGCAGCAAAATGGGGGACATGGCCCCAGTAACCCACCCCAGGTGGTTGTGTAGAGCTGCTGTTATCCCCCAACCTCTCAAAACGTCACGCTCTGCCCATCCCAGGCACAGAAGGGGGAAGAGCACCCTACCATTTCCTGCAGGTGTCCAGCAGGATGAGGTTCAGGGCTGTCTGCTGCTGCTGCATCTTTTGGAGGATCCTCTGGACGCTGATGCAATTCTCAGGGGCGTAGGGTTGTGGAGCATCAACAGGGACCATGTAGTTCCTCCCCAAATGTTCATACCCATGACCAGCATAGTAGAATACAGCTGGGAACAGGGAGAAGAAAGGATGAATCACGATGCGAACCTGCAGGTCTGTAACCAGCTCCCCACAGCCACATCCCACATCCTGTCCTGAAGGGATACTGGTGCAGGGCCAGTAGACCAGTAGAACCTATGAAACCAGAGCTATGTTGACCTCATGGTTTTGACTTTTTTTGAATTCATTCCCACCAGCAGTTGGAAGCAGCCCCAAGAGACTCTCCTGTACTTGTGGTTTCCAGCACCATTTGTCAGGAGACCCCAAAGTCGCTGGTTTACACATTTCCATAACCATTTGTGCTGCAACACCCAAGCTCGGCATCTGCCAGGCTGAGCACCACCTTTGTGACAAGTTTAGTTCATCATCACGTCTTTGGAAGAATATGACAACAGACATTTTACCATGAAGAAAAATACATTATCAGCCTTTTAAATGAGAACCTCCTCAGCTTTGTAATTTTGGAGGAGAGACTGGCAACGGATTAGGTGATGGGAAACATCCTACAGCCTTCAAAGGCCTGCCTGCATTTACATACTTATAAGCTGGTGAAAAACGAGGTAGAGAGAGAGATGAGTTTTCCAGATGTCCAGAACATGTGGACCATGTACTTCAACAACCTGAGACCAGACGCCAGCCCTGTACGGTGGGAGAGGAGTCCAACTCACCCAGGTGTTGGTGGGAAGTCCAATACCCAACAAGAATTCAAGTTTTACTCTTAAGCACATGAAACTTAGTAATGGTTTCTGCCTTCACAAGAGATGGCAACATGGGGACATCCAGCGTGGAAAGCCAGCACTGAAAAGCTCGGCACGGCCCAAGCTGGTGCTTCTCTCCGACCCCTATGCTCCGGGAAGAGTTTTCCTTCTGCACAGGGACCCCCACGTGGGCCGTAGCTTCCTGAAATGAAGCTGCACGGTGGCTGGATACCCCCTCCCAGCACAGGTGCAACTGCTCAGGGGATGCTGGCACAAGCCAACTCAGGGAACTGAAATGGGTTAAAAATAGGCCTGTGAGGTGGCACAAACAGTTGCATTACTGCAATTGAGGGACAGTGAAGAGTGAAAGGACAGAAACAGGAACAAGTGGCTAAAAGGCAAAAACAGGAGAAATTCTTCAGTCAGATTTGCTGCCAAAGCCCGTGCTCCACTGAGTAACCCCTGTTTTCCCTCTGCTGTTCCTGCCGCTGTAGTCTGTAGGACAATGGCTTTCACCTTTGATGCTGGAAGGGATGCAGTGAATGGGGTAAGAGCTGAAGGACTGAAAACATTATCTCATCATACGGGGGATGGAAAACATTATCTCATAGTAACAAATGCCTCAAGTCACCTTTGGTTTCTATTCGCAGGGGACAATGGAAAGTTACTCAAACGGCCGTTTTCACAGATGCCCACAGGATTTGGGTTCCTCTTCTTGGGGATCGCCAGCCAGAGAGGGGACTTGGATTTGCAGAAGTTTTAATAATCTTTCATAACTTGCAAATCAAAGCCACAAAAACCTCCCCTGAGACTATAGAAGAGTACAAAATAGGAAACCACCTGGAAAAATCAGTTGCAGGCACTTCAGGTTTGGCCCCTCAAGTCATTGAGCACTGATATCTTTTGTCCCCCTCCTGTATGTGAAAGGGAGGTGATGGCATTTGTTATTAGGCAGCATCACTGACACTTGGTAAAAAATGAAATATTCTAGAAAAACCCACAATGAATCATTTCATCATTAAATCTTCTAATTTTTGAGGTCTTTTTGCGCACTCTGAATGCATCCCCAAGTGCTCCCTCCACTATATAAACCACAGACTCGTGTTCAAATCAAAAAAGACAGGAGTTTCACATCCGCTGAGGAACTTTGCAAACCTCTCCTGGACTTAATCTCTCCTCCTGAACAGGAAAGTCAGCAATTTGCCTAGAGAAGATGAGGGTTTTTTTATTCAGAGCTAACCTTGCAACTCTCTTCCCACATATCGTGAGTTAAAACTGCTGATCAGAGACAAGCTTCCAACTGCCAAACGGAAGAAGGGAAGCTCCAGGCACTGCTTATAATACAAGAAATTTCAGCACGCAGCTTAATTAAGGCATGACACCATATTCCTAGCATTTCACTTGCAACTTTCTGCTTTCTTTGCAATTCTGACATTGGTTTTGACTCAGGACTTTTTAGGATGCTCAAAATAACATCCAGGAGGATTCCTCGTTCACCTGAAGGTTGAATAATTAGACCATTCAGGGGATGTCTGGGGCCTTCAAAAACCCTCTGCAGCTTGTCTAACAGGAGATCTGCACGAAAAGCAGCCAGGTGAGCCGCCACCACCTCCATACTGTGAATTAGAGAAGCCTCTGGATCACCTTGAACCTGCAGCTATACAACATTCCTGTGTCTGAAAACAATGCCAGTTTTTGCTCTGGGCTTCAGAGAAGGTTCAATAATAAGAAGGACAAAGTCCTGCATGGGGGCAGATAATCCCAGGCAGCGTTTTGGCTGGGCTGAGCAGCAAGCCTAGAGTCATGGTGGACACCACTGTCTGGGGATAGAGCTACACTAGGAGATACAGGATGGCCAGGGAAGCTGTCAGCAGGCTCCTTGGCCCTGAGCAGACCCCACTTAGATCCTGTGTCCAGTTTTAGGGAACTCAGTTCAAGAGAAAGGTGGAGAAGGAAGAAAAAAGCAGGGGCTGCATGCCCCTGCTTATTGGGGGCCCAGGACCTGGGAGGAGAGAGGAAAGGAACTTGGCTGGGATGGTCTGGAGACGTGGAAGTTAAGGGAGGCCTAAAACCAGCCTACAGTTCCCGGAGGGGCAGTTACAGAGACAACAAAGCCCAACTCTCCTTGTTGGCATGGACCATACAACATGGGGCAAGAAGCACCAGCCCATGGAGGATCATGTTTGACAGGAGGAAAGACAGAAGGCTGGAGGGTGGTGCAGCCCCGGGACGGGCAGGTAGAGAAGTAGGGGGCTCCATGCCTGGAAGTGCTCAAGACCTGATAAGGAGAGCCACAACCAGCCCTGACCTCGTGTTGATGACTCCAAGTCCCTTCCCACCATCCCCTGTAGGAGTGCAAATCACAAACAGGTCAGTAAGCACACACAAGGGAAGGCCAGCCATCCAGGGAGCCCCACAATAAGAAAGAGGTCTAGAGAGGTCAGACACATCTTCTTCAGCTCTTACCAGCATCCTGAAGCTAAATAAAACTCTAGAAGCAACAATAAGCACTGTGCTTAAACAGTAATCCACACAGCTATATCCTCTCTTCTGATCTGCAGAAAGATGCATGAATGCCTCAGCATCTCTGCTGCTGGAGTTAAGCTTCAGAAGACAGCCAGCCTCACCTCTTGGGCTCGCTGTGTTACACCAGTCTCCCACTTCAGCCCAGTGACAGTCTTTCACCAGGCAGCCTTCTGCTCCCAGCTCCCCACTTCACTCCATACATATATGCAAAGCTCTCCTGACTTCAGCTGAGGTGGTCGCTACACAGGAGATGGCATCTCCAGGTTCCTTGAGCAAGAAAAACCAGGTGGAAGTACCAGGATGCCTCTAAGCCACCCATGTGGATGGACAGCATCAACTGTCACAGGCACTCCTGGTGTCTTTGTAGTTTTAACAGGCTGCCTAGCTTCTTGCTGGAGCTGCTGTCTCACCACTGTCTTCCCATGCGTATGAGTTATGTGAATCCTACACCTCTCAGTCAGTTCTGCATGTTTATCCTGGAGCTAGTGCCTTCAAAAATTGACACATAGTGTTTAGGAGTTGTTAGCTTCTTCTACAGGTGTATTATTTTTAAAAAGAAAAGTAATGTCAATGATTTGCACTTCCCCTGGTTCTTTTTATTTTATGTAGAAAACAGCTGAAGAAATGCTGGAAGATGCATCCCAGCTGGAGGCAGCACACTTCAGATGGAGAGCCCCCAGGGCAACCAGCAGGCAGACTGATCCAGTGCCCCACCATTAAGTCTGGATGCCACCAATTACAGCAAGACTCCTCAGCTCAATCACACTACTGGGCCCAGCCTGCACTGGGGTTCACTGCCTCCAAATAATAGTAGACCACTCAGCTTAGAAAGCTGCAAAGAAAACCAACATCAGGAGCAGGATACACCTTGCAAACACTCGAGGCTTATCAAGGTTCAGTAACTCAGCTGTGAATGTTTTCCCTACCAGTGCACAAAATCAATTTTGCCAGGAAGGATCAGTGGTCACGAATGCAGAAAAGCACTAGAAGTTTAAATAAGGCACGACAGCATTAAAGGTTTGTTGTTTCCAAGTCTTTTTTCTCTCCAATGCTTATAAAAACAAGGGAGGCGCTGTGGACAGAATGCCATTTTGTCCTCAGGCACTATGGATAGAGGGTAGGAATGGCAGTGTCATGGGGATCACACAGCAGCCCCCCAGGGATGGCTCTGGCCTGGGAGAGGAGGTAAAGCCGGAGATGCAAGGGAATTTCGGAGAGCAACCACAAAAGAAAGATGTGAGTGAAGTCATAGAAATAGGCTGTCGTCAGATGACACGCTTGGCCGGAGTGGTGACAACCGTGTACCGCCCGTCCCCGCCTGCTCAGCCTCCCCGAGTGAGTCAGCGCTTCCCGCAACAAGGTGGCTTTGCAGCATTTCCCTTGTGGCCATGTCCCTGTCCATTGCACAACCTCCAAACCTCATGCTGAGCACCACTGGAATTGGCCTGTGTTGACTTTCCCTGCCTGAGTGCCCTGGTATGCCATGCAGCTGGGAGAGCCGTGAAAATAAGCCTCACGCAAACATGTGGAAGCTAAAACACCCCATTTGCCAGGTGTTTTTAGGGTATCCATCAGGCTGGGAGAACCTCAAAAACCCCAAAGAAGCTACTTTCACCACCAATCCTGAACACTTGCTTTAAGACCCACAAGATCTGCTGGTTGGTTTTTTGTTTGAGGAATGCTTCCTGCTGAGGACAGTGCGAAATAAGCTCAGAGCCCAACCTCAAAACCATCTGCAGCTGGGAATGCACTTCTCCAAAAAGACTGTCAGAGGCTCAAATTAGACCATCAGGAAAGAGAAACAAGGAAATTGTGGCCAGCTGTAGCAGTCACAGCTCAAAGGAGCTTCTGTCTTCACAAAGGCATGTAGGGGGGACAACTGACAGTCAATCTCCCTAATTTTTCATCTAAGGAAAAATCAAAAGACCTCCTCCCATTTGCCATCAGAAGCACTGGGTCGCAAAAAGCTCAGCATGAGATGACGCAGTTGGAGGTGAGCCACGTGACAGAGAGACACCCACTTTGCCTGCTTGTAACCTGGCCAAAACACCAGAATGGTGTTTACCTGGGGGCTTCTGCCAAGCCCGCCACCACTGCAGACACACTGCACCAGAGGGCTCTTCTAAAGGAAAGTTCAATTTCTTCTAATTCAACAGCTGTTTGGAAAATTGTCAAATCCCTGATCCTCCCTGGAATCAGCTGCTGCTGCCCCCTCACTGGCTACCTTACCTCACTGGCTTTGTCTTACCATAGACTCCCTTCTCCAGGAGCTGCAGGAACCGACTGACTGCTGTCACCATCTCAGCCTTGTTCAGGTCCAGAAGGGAGACAACTTGGAAGTCCAGCTGCTCCAGAAGAAGACTCAGCTCGAACACATCCGTCACGGGAGCCATCAGGTTGGGATGATGCTGGTAGTGGTTGTTGCCCACCAAAAGTGCTATCTTGCCTGTAGCTAACAGAAACACCAACCAACAAAGCTGTAAATGCTCAGCAGGAGGCAAGGTCTCTGCTCCTTTGGTTGAGTGAGAAATCTTTGGTTGGTGAGGGAAATCTTTTTGTACATCTAGGCAGGAAGGCTAGAGAACATGCTGCTACAAGTCTGAAGTGCCCTCCAGAAAGCCCTGGGCTTTCTTTGACAAAATATACAAACCATCATTTTGAAAGAAAGACTTGAGAAGTTTTCACTTGACAACCAAAATCCCAGGAGTGCAGGAGGATCTGTGCTAGCAAGGTTATTTGGCACCTGCCCTATGGTGACCACAGGTCTTGTGTGCCAGCGGTGCCTGGGAGGGCAGAAAAGAGGCCCTTTCCCCCATGGGGCTGAAGGAGAGAAACCCTGGGTTCCTGCTTTCAGTTTATCCCCAGCTCCCACTGTAGGAAAACCGGATTTACGGCAGTTGGTAGTGGTGGAAGAGCTTTGCCCTGCCCCAAGGAGATATTTCAAGGAAGGAAAAAGGTGACATGTGAACACCACTTTTAAACTCATTTGGTGGGCATAGAGGTTACTCATTAGGCTGGGTTACTCATTAGGAATAATCTGACTCCACATGCCGAGTCTGATCAGCGCTTGGCAGGGAATGGGACTCATCCTGTGCCTTGCAGCCCTGACCCCACAGCGCAGAGCCCATGACAATGTGGGCAGAAAGGCCTGAAGCAGTCTCTGCAGGAAAAGCAGCCCTACACCTTGTCCTCCCGTCCACCCTGCAGCCTGGCTTTTAATTAAGGGAATAATTACTTAGGAAGAAAAGATGACAGTACTCACCAAAAAACTTTTCAGAGCGATGCGTACCTGGAAAAGAAAGGGGAAAATGCTAAGCCTGTACCCAGCGCTCAGTGCCAGCTCCCACCTCGGGTCTGAAACCTGCGCCAACACACCCCAGCCGTGCAAAGCTGGATCTAACACCGTGGAGCACCCGCACAAGCAATGCTCCTTGGGCAAGTTCTTCACAGCCTAATTGGTAACCTTAAAATCACACTAATCTGATGATTTGGGGAGGATTTATGAAATCCTGAGCAGCTGGGAAGCAAAGCTTGGAGCTGACTTGTCTGCTCCTTCACTGCAGTGAAAGCTAAGGAAACATGACGACTCAAGATCAACATAAACTTCAAAACGGAGAGCTTTTCCCCATGAGCACTCAGTGCAGAGGAAGCCGACTGTTTGCTTTTGATTGTGATAATATTCCCAGAGCCTTTCACCACCCTGCTTTGCCTTTCCCTGCCTTTCAGCAGTTCCGGCTCAAAAAAGCCACCCCAAATGTGACTCACTTTCAAAAGCTCTACAAGCTCCCCTGCCTGAGCACTTCCAGTCTCCTAAAATCATCAGTATCCCTAACAGCTCCAGCTTTACCTATTTAAATTAAATATCGTAATAAAAAAAAAAAATAACAGCCCAGGAGAAAACTCTAAAGCCCGACAGGCTCTAAAAGAAGAAATGAAGGGCATATTTTTAATTACACAAAGCTCACAGGCCTGGAAGATCTTTAGCACCTGAACTAGTGTTGTTAATGCTCCAGGGATGCCTGGGAAGCCACCAGAACAAGCCCATTCATCCTTTTCAGCCTCTGACAGAGCTGCCTGTTGCACATTAAAGCCACTCAGCCACGACATTTTGAACCCAACCAAATCCCGTGCCCCTTTCTTGCTGCCTGTCCCACTTGGATGCTGTTTCGCCAGCTGCGAGGAGAGTGCTCTCTGGCTATACAGGACCAGTTCGCACTCTGGAGCAATTTTAAAGCCAGCCTAAAAGGCCAGATGAGAAGTTTATGGCATAGAAAAATCTCTAGATGGAGTAGAGAGCCAGTAAAGTGAGCCTGTGCTATTCCTGTCTCGCAGCAGGGCAAAGGCAGAGGGCCAAGGCAGCCGTCACACTGAAGGTGGAGCATGTTGGAGGCTCTGGGGACACATCTTCTCCTCGGGATCCATCTGCTCAGGCAGCTTCAGGCCTGGGCTGCCAGCCCAAAGGGTCTGAACCTTCCAGAAATAAACACCATCCTTTCCAGCTCTATGTGTCCGAGAGCATCACTTCACCTCAGGAAGGCTGTAAATGAGTTTTAGCAAAGGATCCTGCTGCAATTTGGCTGGGGAGCGATTAAACCAGCACCTTGGCAAGGCAAGAAAACCACAGCAAGCACCTGAGAGTGCTCAACCTGCTCTAACAGCGCAGGTTTCCAACAGACTGCAGGACCCAGCAGCACCCCACGCCACAGTACAGCTGATCACCGCGTTTTGAGGCTTTTTTCTTTTAGTCGCCGCCTCCCTTGCTACCCCCCTTATCAAGGAATCCTGACGGACGCCTGCACCCACCGCTCAGCAGGGCTTGCGCAGCTCCGCTGAGATCATCGCGTCCACTATTTCCAGGGTGTGAAACTGTGCTCTGCAGGCTGCTCCCATGACAGCCGCCACAGGGATGCCAGGACACTCCTGCTTCCCTGCAGAGCCCCATGGTCTTACCTTCAGCTCCCCGTAAACCTGGCATTTAAACCACTGGTCCTTCTTTTTGTTAATAAAAGGGTGCAAGATCCGTCCAAGCTGTGGGAAGCGCAATGTCAGAGCCACACATCCTGCTTCTCCTAATCCCACAGCCCAGAGCCAGCTTCCCCTGCACCGTTGAGCAACAGGGCAACGTGGCAGCCCTGGGCTCCTCGTTCACCAGCCCAGCGCTTCCAGACAACAGCACTAAATTCCTGTCTGTCCTCTAATTGCTTCTCACACTAGAAGGTGGTTTGCAGCAAAGCAGTCGTGGGTTGGCTCCGCTCACCTATGTGAACATCCACGGCGTTGGTCCAGTGCTCCCCGTGGCTATTGGAGGCACAGCAGAGGTATGTGCCAGAGTCACTGACCTTTGCATGGGTGATCTAGGCAGAACAAAAGTTAAATCACATTATTTATGGTGAAAATTTGTGGCCCCCTGCTGATATCTGCCAAAGGCACTGTTGTTCCTGGAATAAAGAGTCTTTTTTCCTTCTGTTTGCTGAGACCTCATTCCTTGCCTCAGAAAGCTAAGAGATTTGTCATGACTTCTGTCTTTCTAAGAAGCTCAGTACAGCCACATACTAAGGTCTGATGCTGACCTCAGCTTCTACAGTGCAAGAATCCTCTGCCCAAATGCCTTCCTTTCTTTTTCCAGCAGCCCCCAAGCCCTGTGTCATAACCATACTCTGCCCCAGGAGCCACACTGGCAGGACGGTATGCAGCCAACATCAGAGGGTCGCCTGCTTTTCCTCTTAGGCGACATTTTCTAGATTTCTGATCATGCCTATTGCTCTCTTCTGGCAGGTTTTCAAGCCTTATTCATCTCTCTTGATGTGGGACAAGAATCAGAGCAGTACCAGCTGGTGAGGACTTCTCTGTTTCTCCAGCCCAGGCTCCCGCTCAGAGAGCCACCACTGGGTGAGGCTGGCCATGGCTTTGTCTAATCGACTAGTGAAAACCTCCAGAGGTTTTCAGAGAAAGAAGAACAGAGACCTCACTGCCTTTCTGGTTCCAGGGCAGCACTACCGACCTCTAATGAAGAGCCTCTTCCTAATCCAGATGGAACTTCCCTGTGAAAAATGTGATCTGAGACCACTGTTCCCTATAGCATCACCTATCCCTACTGAGAAGAGACTGGATATCTTGTCCTTGTTACCCTCCACAAGATGCCCCAGAATGAAATCTGCCTTTCTTGCATCAAGAAGACAGCACTGGTTTATATTCAGTCAGCGGCCCAAAATAAATCCAGACCTTTTGCTGTCTCCCTGACTCTTTTCTGTCAGAACCAACCACTTCTTTTCCTTCTAGCTCTCCTGCAGGCAGACAGCACTCCTGCAGCTCCCTCACTCTGCACAATAGCTGTTGTGCCACTGCTGCAAAGAGGCATGAGAGACGTGCTGAGAGCCCTTGACGCATCTATGAATTAGTTACTTCTCAGAAACATCCACAGCTTTGAAAGAAGCCCATAAAATGTATCCCCTCTTCACCCAGAGCCCTTCAGTCAGCTATCAAAGTAACAGGGGTGATACAGGCAGTGCTTTCACACAACTCAGCAGCACGGCAGGGAAAGAAGCTGAGCATGAGGCTGCTCCTCAAGGGCTGGAGAGATGGGGAGGACAGGCAAGGAGAGACCGCTTTCTGCTGGCATTCACCTGACCACGCAGATCAAAGCCCAAGCCCTGACATGCAGATACGAGCCAGGCTTAAGGACTGCCACCTGCCAAGTCCAAGATGAAAATAACACCATTTCCAGCAGTCTCCCCAAGGCTTCTGAGGCTCTCCCAGGCGTACCATCCAGCACCAAGCTTCTCCCACCACCCACCTCAGCAGCCAAAGTTTTTGAACTATCGCAAGGCAACGTTACCCAGAGTTTTTTTTTCTTCTGTTGTTCCAGCAGATTGCCGTTCCGGTACCACTGGTAGCTGGGGGCTGGGACCCCCATGGCAGCACACTGCAGCTGCAGCGGCTTCCCCACCTCCACCCTCTGCTCGGTGGGGTTGAGGACGATGACCGGTTCTCCTCGCCAGAGCCGAGGGGGCAGGCCTGTGAAGAGGTGACACAGAATTGGTCCTCCCTCCACAAGGGCAGAAAACAATGGTGCTTTTCCCCCCCGTATAGGACTGTGTGCCAGAAAAGTGAGCTTTTTCCACCTGCACCAGGAGAAACCATCCCACAGGACACCACAGCTGTGCCTTTCTGCTCTGGAAGCAGGGGATCCTTGAGAGCAACACCCGCAACAATAAATGACACACCAAAACCCTGCCTCTGTATTCCCAAACATGACGCTTGCCGTTTCCTGCCAAGAGTACAGTCAACCTGACGAGGTCAACCACACCTGGAGTTATTTTTGCTCAGTTTTGGAATAGCCAGGTTGCCTCTTCCAGTCCCTCTGCCCAACACAGAGGCAAACACCCTGGGAAACACACGATGAGCGATCAGCAGGAAGAGCAGGTACACACAGCCGGGGCAACTGGGACAATGACAGAGACCTGAACCATCCAGAGGATGGACACAGGTGTCTGTCTTAGACCTGCAGGTTCGCGTTGCTGGAGCAATCCTTCTGTAGTGTGATTTTTGGGCTGGAATGACACACTGTCCCAGGAATTGCACAGGATCACTGTTTCAAGGGTGGGGAAAGCATAAAATATAGAAAAGCTAGAAGACACACTCGCACCTCTGGCGACACACTGATGGACCTCCACCTTCACCCAGTCGGAGAAAACAGCATTTCTGTAGAGGTCATTGATTCTGCAGGTGTAGAGTTGGGTCTGCTGTGCGGTGATGGGCAAATCTTGTTTGGTGGCACCAGGAATCTGGCGGCAGACAGACTAAAGGGAAAACAGCCAGTGGGAAGCAAGTGCCCCCTCATCGCTGGTAGCAGAAGATACCAGCAAGACCCTCGTAAGAACAGGAAAAGTGGAAATCCCTGGTTCCCTTCCTTCCTCCAGCCGCAGACGTGCAGGAGAAGGAGCTTTTCCATTGCATGCCCCCTCCCAGCATCTGCAGAAGCTCTCAGTGGGCACACGCGTCATATCCCCCATTCCTTCTAGCCTCCTGCTTCCCAGGGCACGCTGCGGGCAGGAACATCCAGCCTGGTGGCATGCCTAGGGCTACCTACCCCTGCTCCCACCCTTACCTGGTGCTGACAGAACCACTGGTACTGCAGCGGGGTGCGTCCCTCGGCCCTGCACCGCAGGGTGAAGGAGTATCCCACAGGGACGGAGACGGAGACCGGCTGCTCGGTGATGGCGATGGCTGCGGAGGAACAGGGCAAGGAAGATGGAAACAAGCCGATGGGCACAGCCCAGGGCCTCACCTCCAGCTGGTGGCCGGGCACGCTGGGCTACTAGAGGGGGCCCCCGGCACCCATCCCGGGAGGAGACGTGGAACAACAGGGATGCTCAGCCTCCCGTGCCCAGGGGATGCCACGGGGCTCGCTGGGGTGGTCCCTCGGGGCCCAAAGGCGGCGGGGGGTGGGGGGTGGCCTAGGCCCAGCCGCTCACCGACCCCCCGGCGGCCGCTCACCTTCCTGCATCGCTTCGCCGGCCGGGCCCGCGGCGGCTCCTCTCCCGGGGAAGCGGCAGCAGCACCTGGGGCGGGCGGGACGGCAGCGCCCGGAGCTGGAGGGCGGTTGGGACCCGTCCGACGGGCGGCCTCTGGGGCGGGCTGGGCCGGGCTGCGGGTGGCCGGGCCGAGGCCTCGGCGGGCTCCCCCCCGCGCGGGGCAGGG